CCAGCCGTGCTCGCTACCTGAGAGCCGCCATGGGTCTGGTAGCGTTTAAACACCGGGACCATCTGGGTTTTGAGACTATCTTTCTCAGTCTTGGCGTGTTGCAGAGGTGGCCTCACCCTGGTGTGTGCTGGTCTGAGGTGTCATGGCCTACAGGCTCACAGTCAGGTTCAAGAGCAGGAAAGAACGTTGGAGACAGGACATTAAGTTGGTGTAAGGTATAGGGAACTCCTTTAAAATTTTTGCCAGGTCTCGGTGATGGTGACACACACCTTTAATCCCAGCAATCAGGAGGCACCGGCATGCAGATTTCTTTAAGGCCAGCCTGGTCTACAGTGAGTCCAGGACACTCAGTGCTACACAGAAACCCTGTCTAAAAATCCAAACATCTTTAATCTCAAGTACTGCAGAGACAGGTGGATGGGTTTCAGGACAACTGGTGCTGCCTGGAGAAACCCTGTCTCAAAGGGATCTTTCTGCTCTTCCAGAGGGTCCTCATTCAGTTCCTGCCTAGAACCTCTGCCTGTAATTGTCTTGTGGCTGTCACAGGCACAGGGGCATAGGAATAAGTGCAGGTAAAACACCTGTGCACATTTTTAAGAACAGTGGTTGTGGGAGACTTGCCCACGCCTCACGCGCATGCTCCCTCAGGTGGTGATCTTTGTGAAGTCTGTGCAGCGATGCATCGCGCTGGCCCAGCTTCTGGTGGAGCAGAACTTCCCCGCCATTGCTATCCACCGAGGGATGCCCCAGGAGGAGAGGTGAGGCTGAGACGGGGATTTCTGTCCTGGGGGAGAGGGTGCAGAGAGAAGGATGTCCCAGTCCTCCCTTTGCTCTCTGCCACAGGCTCTCGAGGTATCAGCAGTTCAAGGACTTCCAGCGCCGGATTCTCGTGGCCACCAACCTGTTTGGCCGAGGTATGGACATTGAGCGAGTGAACATCGCCTTCAACTATGACATGCCAGAGGACTCGGACACCTACCTGCATCGGGTAAGCTGGCCATCCTCACTCCGTGAACTTGTGCACCTTCCTCTCCTGGGTGTCTCCCCTTTGAGGCTTGTGCTCTTCTCCTTGTCTCCTTCCAGGTGGCCAGAGCAGGCCGGTTTGGCACCAAAGGCTTGGCCATCACGTTTGTGTCAGATGAGAATGATGCCAAGATCCTCAATGACGTGCAGGACCGCTTCGAGGTGAACATCAGTGAGCTGCCTGACGAGATCGACATCTCCTCCTACAGTGAGTACCGCCCGCTGCACACCGCTCCCGTGTGTCTCTCTCTCTCGTGGTCACGTGTAGAGATGAGAGGACAGCTGACAGCTGTTTGTTCTTTCCCCCGTGTGGATTTCTTGGAGTGAACTTGAGGTCATCAGGCTTGGTGACAAGGGCCTTGACTCAGGGAAATCTCTTGCTGAATCCTGCTCTCTCTCTTCTTGTTCTTGCTTATTGTGAACACCCTTCTGGGTAGTGGTCACTGATGATGAATGGCCACTAGGCGGCTTCCTGCCCTCCTAGTTTCCATGCTGTTGGTGTTAGAAGCTGGATGGGGTCTTTCTGTCATCATGTTTTCTCTTTTCTCCATTTCCTCTTGTATCCTCTAAAGCCAAACAGCTGAGAGAGAGAGAGAGAAAGAGAGCCCGTGTGTGTGTGTGTGTGTGTGTGTGTGTGTGTGTGTGTGTGTGTGTCTGTCTCTGTCTCATTGTGACTGCTGCTGTTTTTTTCTTCAGTTGAGCAGACACGGTAGAGGAGTCACCCTTCTGGACTGTGGCAGTCTGTCTTGTAGAAGAGACCCCGGGATCAGGAAGGAGACGCCCCCGCCCCTGACAGCTCTCCTCCTGTCCTGTCCACGCTTCCCTCTGCGGCACCACCACTCCTGAACTGATTCCTGTTTATCAGAGTTTTTTGTTTTTGTTTTTGTTTTTTAACAAAACTAAGAATGAAATGACTGTGTGTGTGTTGTCTGTAACTGCTTTGTTTAGCCTGACCCAGGGTCCGTTACTCTGAGGGCTGCCAACCCTATTGTGGGCAGGTCAAACTGAGGAGGGCCCAAACCCAAGAGGCTGTGGCTCCCCAGCCGCCTTCTCTTCTGGCTTCTTTCCCACCCTAAAGTGTCTGTGGAAGGTGGGGGTGGGGCAGTGTGCCAGGAAAGGTGAGGACAGCTAGGTCCATGTCCTGTGTCTCATCTCCTTCCCTGGCTTCTTGTACCAGGCCTCTGCCTCCCAGGCGTCCTCCTGCCCATCTAAGCAGGGCCTGCTGCAGCCCCAGCCCGTCCCCACTGGGCCAGCTTCGCTGTGTAGACAGGCTGAGGGAAGATTAAAGGAGCAAGCCTCAACCAGGTGAGGTGAAAGTGACAGCCCCAAGTGGTTTCACAGGCCAGAGTGTGTACCATGGCAGCCTCCTCAGCTCCGTGGACCCTGCAACTGGCCCCACAGACCTTGCTTTCACCTCAGGACCGGGCCTTGCTGAGGCAGCCAGCCATGGGCCCCTTCCTGTTCTGGCCTGACAGGCTGCAGCTTGTGTCCTTGGTTTGAGATTTAAGGTCCTGACAGTTTAGTCAAGCTGCTTTAGAATGCTGGTGTGCAGCCAGCCTCCCTGAGCACTCACTGGTGTATTCACAAGCAGACCCACCTCACTGAAGGGCTCACCTGACCTGTCTTAAATACTGATTTCTGCTTCCTGAATCAATGGCTCCCGGGATGACCATTTTCCCGAGCTGTATTTTGTGATCTAAGGGATTTCCTTCTCTAGGAGGCCTGGGCACCTGTGTGTCCTCATAACCTTGGCAAGACCCTCATGGGAGTGTCAGGCCGTTCTGAGCTGCTGACTACGCCACACCTCTACAATAGTCCTGTCCACACTGAGCCTCCGGAAAGGGCTGGTTGACTGGGAGGCCCTGAGGGCAGGTGTGGCTCAGAAGGGTAGATGGTTTTGCTCTTGATCATCTGGGGAAATGGATGTCTACAGAAAAACATGGCCCAGAACACAGGATCCCTGGGGGGAGCAGCTGCTGCTAGGCCCCACAAATTCCGTACCCCTCCCTGTACATCTGTCCATGCCTCTGGGTTGGCAATGAACAAGATGGTGTCTGCACAGAGGAGCAGTCCAGGACTTGGGAGGCTTCCCCGCTGTCACAGTCCCTCACATGAGGCTGAAGTATCTTTAGAAAACGCCAAAAGCCTCAGTGGATTAGGTTCTTTGTTTCTATTTTCACACTTCTATTGTATGTGTCTTAAGTGTTTTGACAGCTTGTATCTCCTGGAGGCCAAAAGGGGGTGCAGGGTCCTGTGGAACAGTTACAGATGGCTGTGAGGCACCTGACTCAAAGCCACCTGCTCTACAGAGTGAGTTCCAGGACAGCCAGAGCTGTCACAGAGAAACCCAATCCTGTCTCAAAACACTTGTGGTGGTGGTGGAAGCAGGCTGAGCAAGGCAGGAAGCAGCACCCTCCATGGCCTCTGCATCAGCTCCTGCCTCCTGGTTCCTCACCTGTTTGACTTCCTGTCCTGGCTTTTCCTACCTTGAGCAGTGCTGTGGAAGTCCATCAGAGGCCCTCCTCTGAGGGACTGTCTTCAGCAGATTGGCTTGAAAGTGTGTTTGGGGCTTTTTCTTTTTTTTCCTTTTTTTTTTTTTTTAAATTAAAAAGATTGCTAAAGGTCTGAAAACCAACTACAAGATTGACTTTTCCATAAAAATGTAGTTGCTCCATGCATTGTCTAACCTGTTAAAAGGTGCGTTAGACACAGACACAAAAACCATGAACGTGAGCCACTGTTCTTAATGACTGAGCCAAGATAAAATGCCTAAGGAACAGCATAGACGACTTGCACAGGATGGTCTCTCAGCACCGTTAAAAAAGGGAGCATGGCTGGGTGAGTGTTCACTTACAAGCACAGCTGGGTGAGTGTTCAGTTCCACACAAGCACGGCTGGGTGAGTGTTCAGTTACACACACTGATCCTTTGGCACTAGGAACCAGAGCATTTTGTCATGAGCATTAACACACATGAAAGTGCGCAGCATGGAAGGACAGAGCCGCCGGCATCCACAAGCAGCTCCGTCAACTAAGCAACACGACACTGCAGCACGTCTCCAGTGTCCATTGAGGAACACGGGGAGAAACTCTGAAATGAAAAAAGGAGCAGTGACTCCTCTTTTCTCTGTGTAAAATCACACAGGAAAACATCAACTGTCACACACTAACAGTCTTCAAAGTCCATCATTTGTACAAGAGGAGGACTAGGAACCAAACTGCTTACAGAGCTCCAAGTCCAAGTGAGAGCACAGGCCTCACACAGCTTTCCTGTGGTCCTCGGGAGGAGCCGTTTCACAATCACGGCACTGAGCAGAGTTGCAGAAGTCTTTGCCAGGTACATGAGAAAACCATGTAGACGGCTCAGTCACAGAGCAAGGCCTTTCTCATCGGGAGATGTCTAGGCCAACGTCGCTCCAGTTCACAAGGAACCTCAGGAAATGTGGCGCTCCATGCACCTGGGACATGGGTGTGTAGGGGTGATGGTGAGAATTTCAGATGCTGTGACTCTCACATTTGTAGAACAGCTCAGTGCCCAACATCCCGCTGAAGCACCCTGTTATCCTGCCACAGCCTTGTGAACAGCCTGCTGCTATCTGTATTTCCTGGAGATTATTTATAATTTCGATAATCCTCCAAAACGGAGTCCATCTTCTGGGCAGGAAGATAAAAAGCTGCTCTTGTCTGGGGATCAAGTCTCTGTCATCCACAAGCCATGCTTTCAGCTCTCCAGGAAGCTTTCCTTTGACTTCCCCTCTGCTCAGGAGTGTTTCTCCTTTTCCAAGGGTAGGATCTGGCCGGGCTCTTCTCTTCCTAGGAGGCTGCGGTGTCACTGGTACTGCCACCATCTTCATTTCCAGGCCTTTTCTGCCTGTTCTTTTCTTTTTTGTTTTCACTTCAACATTTTTCTGTTGCAGACCGGAGTCTTCTT